ACTTTTTGTAGTTTATTGTTTGTAGATGTTGTCTGTCTAGAATATTATCTGTTATGTAATTAAAATCTATCATTACAATAGTTTGTATTTGTCTTTTCTTTTTTAAGACTGTTTTTACTATTTTTTGCTGAATGTTTTTCTCTACTAGTTTATTATTTGGTAGTATATAGACTACAATCACTACTAACTTCAATTGTTTAAAATATAGTGTTATTTCTATCATATATTTACTTATTTTCTTGACTGCACCTATATGTTTTTTCTATTGTTTATCTATCATAATTCTAACACCTGAACCTTTTTTTATCCTTTGCTGCATTTGTTCAAAATTCTATATATCTTTTGCTTGTCATATATGTCAGGAATTTTCTTTTTCTTTCTGTAAGATTTGTCTCTATAATTTCTAATATTGTGATTTTTTCTTCTTCTGCCTAGCTGAACAGGTTTTCCAATTTTCAACCTTTGGTCTTAAGTTTATTCATATTGTAACATGCTAGTTTTATTTCTTTTTTATCTTCTTTCTATTTTTCTTTTAGTGATCTTTGTTTTGTTATTATATTTTTAGGTTCTTTTCTTTCTCTATTGCATATTTCTTCTTTTTAACAAGGAGTTTTTACTTCTTTTCTTTCTTTAAACACCTTCCTTTTACTTTACAAAAACTTTTTAATCTTCTTGTTTATATTTATTAGTTCAACTGTAACATCCTTAGGAGCAATTAGCTAGGCCACTTCTTGTACCTAGCTGCATTTCTTCTATTTTGTCTAGTTTATTTAAAATTTGGTACAAAACATCTTCTATTTGTAATGTTTTTGCTTGATTCTGCAAGGCTGCTTTTGTTTTCTTTTTCTTTAGATCATCTTTTTTTACTTCTATATTGGTATTTCTGTTCTCTAACTATTCTTCTATGTTTTGTATTTAAGGGTTCAAACCTATTTCACTATATATTCTACTTGGCTCTTCTTGTATTATGTTTCTAATTCTTAATACCTCTTGTCTTTTGCTATCTACTCTTGATCTTTCTTGCTTTTTGCCTCTTGATTTATCTCTTTTTTGTACTTTCTTTCTTTTAGAATTTTTCCAACTTACTCAATAATTATTGTACTATATTGGTGTTGTTTAGGCTTCTTTTGCTATTAGAGCATTTGCAAAGATGATTATTGCAAACTTCTTTTGATTTCTATTTCTGTTATATAAGATATATACTGCTTTTGCATTTTTGTTTTTTAGGCACTATAACAGCAGCACTTCTGAAGCTCCTCTTGGAATATTTAATAGTTTAGCTGTGTACTGTCTTTACTTGTCTCTCTGGTTATAATCTTCATCTCTATTTGTTATATATGCTAATTTGTTGTTTCCAAGTGGCAATACCCATAGAATCTTTTCTTTTTTCTCTAATCTTGCTACTATTACTGCTAATGCTTTGTATAATAATCTTTTAACTTATATGATATTCAAGTTTTTAAATTTTTTGCACATATATTTAATCTTTTTTTTATTAATATTTGGTAATAGATTTCATATAGTTAACTATTTTTCCTCTTACAATTTTTTTTTTTCTTTTTTACTATTTTTTATTACAATATTTCCTTTATAGAGTTTTTTCTTCTTTCTTTTTTTTCTTGTTTTTTTACTTCTTTTATTTTTTTAGTTCTTCATTCTTTCTTGTTTGCTTTATATCTTTTTCTTCTCTTCTTTTTGTATTGTGTTTTTCTTGCTCTCTGTTTTTTGATTTTTACTCTTATCCTTTTCTGGAATTAGTTTAAGCTATTTATCTTCTTTTCTTTTAATTTTGTCTATTGCTATATTTCTACTATGTTTATAATTGAAATCTATCTCTATTTAATTGTTTCTATTTTTGAACACTTCTTTAATTGTTTTAATATGATAGTTATTTCCTTAGATTTACTGAACATACTTTATTTTTTTTTCTTTTGATTCATCTGACAATGCATATGTTGGTATATTTGCTTTAAATAATCTGTTCCTATTGTATATTCTGTTTTTTGAAGACCATCAGCTATGCTCAATTGTATTCACAAGAAATGAGATACTGGTTTTTTCATTGGTTGGTTTTTTTTCTTGTCTTTCTGATTCTATATCTGTATCTTTATTGTTTTTTTTTTATTTTTTGTAATATATTATTTTTTAGTATTTTGGGTTCATTAGCAGTTTGGCTTGCTTGGTGATGCAGTATAGTAATACTAAAACTTTTTATTTGTTTTTCTAGTATTACTAGCTTTTGCTTATTATTTGTTCTTCTTTCTTCTTAGTATGTTACTTCTTTGTTTGTATTAATATTGTATTCAAAAAAGCCTGAATTGAAGCTTATTGAACTAAACTTTTTTACTTACTCATTAATTATCTCTTCTTTAAGTCTACTTGTTTTTGCTAATCTTAAAGTTTCTAATATTTAACTATATACCAGCATGTCATAAGATGTAATATGTTTTGGGTTATATATTGCTAACTCTTTAGTAATATGCTCTATATTACTTAGATTTTATATAGAAGTTTTGAGAACTTGGTCCAAAATTCTACAGTCTACATATTTTTGATTTTTATTTCTTATTCCTCTAATATAAGATATAATATCTGTATTGCAGTTTTCATCCTTTGGTTTATATTTTAATAGACTGAATTAAGATCTTTCTTTTTTTGGCTAATTAGTATCTTAAATTATGCTTTTTAATATTGTTAGTATACTGTTAGTACTATATTACTAATTCTATAGTAATGCTTGCTGTTTTTCAATTAGGTAGCAAGTTTTGTTTGTTTGTTATTGTTTGTTGTTGCTACCATTATTATGTGTTCTGTTTTTTGTTTTTCAGAGTAATATCAATTCCTTCAAAATTTTATTTTTCTTGTCAAAAATATTGCTATTTCTTGTTAATATTTTAATACAGCTTCTTTTGTCTTCTAAACTGTTATACTATATATATTTTCTTCTAATATAGCACTTTTGTTAGTAGTCTAAAAGATGTTTGCTAGTCTGTTTTTCTGTTATTTTTGTGTTTTGTTTTTCTTTGTTTTGAAATTGAGGATCAGCAAAAAGAGTTGTTTAATTTATGATATCAATTTATTTTTTAAGTGATATGTTATTAGTTTTATAAAGATATAAATTATCAAATCTTATTACATTAAAGCTAACATATTTTAAGATTTGAAAAAAAACATATTTATAAGTATGAACTTATATTAAAACAATTCTTATCTATTTAACTATATATAGTTTAATTAATTTACTGTATATAGAATTAAAAAACTATAAAAATTCTTAAATCTCTTAAAATTATTTTCTAGTTTTAAAAAATAAGAAACAATAATAAGTCTAAAATTAAAAATATTTATTATAATAAATTAAAAAATATATAAGTTTATAATAAATTCAAAAAGACAATCTATAATTTTAGATATACTATCTTGAATAGGAGCTTAAAGCATCTATATAAAGTATAATATTTATATATATAAAGGAATATTAAATAATTAGAGACATATAAGACTTTGGTATAAACCTATAATAAGACCATCAAATGCATAATACTAAAAAACTGAAGCATAAAAACCCACTTAAAAATTTCAAGTAAAGAGGTAACATTGATTTTTGACAATACTACTAAACTAATAAAAGCCTAAGAAGAAACAGCTAAAATAAATTAAATAACAATATATATAAAATAGATATATATTTTTTTCCTGTTCACCTCTGATCGGGAAAGGAAAATAAAAACAACAATCATAAAGTCACTAAACACAAAACAAAACTCAACAAATAAGTTTACTTCAAGGGCCAAAGCCCTTGTACCAAAGAAAAGAAAACTCCCTCTAAGAGTTGAACCTTTATTGATAGAAAAAATTTTTAAAATGCTAAAACTTGATGTTGAAAGAGAAGAAGACAGTAACTCCTAGGCAGAAAAGCCTGATAGCATTTCTTCTGAGGGTGTTCTTGCAACACAAGAGGAAACAGAAGCAGCAAATGAAAAACTAGTACCAGTAGTAGTAGTTCAAAACAAGGAAGACTGGCTAGAAAATATTATTCAAAGAAACAACAACTTCCAAGCTTTAAAAAACACATCTAATCACAGAAGCAAAACAAATGAGAAAAATGTAAATAACGACAAAATTAGTCATGTAACAACTAATGAAGAAGAGGCAAGCTGTACTACAGAGGAACAGCATAGACACAAACCTATCTTAAGCTATGCTTCAGCTGCCAAACAAGGCACAAACATGTCAGCAAATTAAAAAAGGGAAAATCAACCTTTGTGGCTTTTTTCCCTAGAAACCAAATTAAGTCAAAAAATAACAATGCACTAATCATTGAAATTTCAGATCTTCATAACTCTTTCAATAAAATTATGACCTCTTTATATGAAGGTCTGAAAGGAGATATTGTTACAGCCAAACAACACTTTAAAAAAGGCTTAAGATCTCATTTAGAAATTGTCTTCCTAAACCAAGACTGACTAACATACTATGCCACCAATGGCATTAAAATTTTCAATGAAACATATTATGGCTATATCCCAACAGATGCATGTAAATCTTTTCTACTAATTAAAGTAAGAAATGTACCATTAGGAACCAAAGAACACATCTCAAGCTTGATGAAAGAAGCCTTTGAGAATTTTGGAAAAATTGTCTCAATTAAACCTCTACTTATTGAAGGCACTCCTTATATGACAGATCAATGGATTGTCATTTTCGATAACACTGAAGATGCAAATTTAGAAAAAAGAATCTCTAGATTCACATATATAGATGATAATAGAGTAACTACCAAGTAGAAAGAGGCACCGAAAGTCTGTTTATTCTGTGACCAAACAGGACACATTAAAAAAGACTATGCACAATTCCAAGAAGCAAAAAACCTAAGACTACATTATCAAGAATTCAAAAGAAAAAGTGCACAAAACAGAACATCTATCAAAAACACAACAGAGAATAATCCATATATGGAAGAGGTAGAAACCTTCTCAACATAAGAAGAAACTCAAGACATGAACATAAATGAAACTTCTTTACAAGAACAAGAAACAGAAGAAATTATGACAGATCATGATATGGATGACAAAACAGATACTGTCTGCACAGAAATTCCTATTGAAAATAACCTCAACACAACACAAGAACCAGTAATTGATAATACAAACCTGAAAAATACACAACTAAATGAGCAAAGAAAAGTAGATGACTCTACTTTTACATTAGTTGTGCGTAAAAAAAGAAAACCTAAGGACTCAAAACCCTACAAAGTAATCAACAAAGAAAATTACCAGGATGATTCAAAACAAAGAGCCCATGGAAGCTCTAAAACTAAATAATCTTTTTTAATAAGCTGTTACTCAATCAAAATCACTATGTTAAATGTTAAAGGCTTAAACAACTTAGACAAACAGACTAGAACATTAACACTTTTAAAATCTTATAAACTAGACATTATACTTTTACAAGAAACAAACACCTTTAATGCTGCCACCCAACAATTTTTAAAAGACCAATGGCCTTTTGATTCAATCTGAACAGGCAGAACAGCAATTTTAGCAGGAAACAAAAATATAAAATTTAATGACACCAAGAAACTACAAGAAGAAAGAATAATCTCAACATGTTTCACATTCAAGAAATTTTCCTTTTATGTAATAAATGTTTATGCACCACCAAACATTTTAAACAGAACTGAATTCTTCAACAATTGAAATATAGACAAGAAAGAAAATATGATCAATATCATTGCAGGAGATCTAAACACAAACTTGAACCCAGATATTAACAGAATGAGTCAAGCATCCTTGCAAAATGACTCTTCAAGGACACTACTTAATGAAATCACAAAATAATTTATTAACTCAGCCTTATTTTCTAAATGAAACCCCTTTTACACATTTCATCAAAATACATCTAACAACCAAATAATAGCCACTCGGCTAGACTATATCTTTATAGATGAAAACTACAGTCACTTAAAATCAGAAACTAAAACAAGATTTGGAAACTCTGATCAACTTCTAGTTGAATGCACTCTAAGCCTAGAACAAAAACCCAGGCAATCAACACTCTGGAGATTCGACTCAAACTCTTTTAAAAATGATATTCTAAAAAAAGAAATCTTGGATGAAATTAAAGATGCTAATTTGGCAACAAGCTGGGACATGCATAAAATCTACATCAAATCGATTATAAAGGCCTTCAAAAAACCAAAAGCCCCAGAAGACAAAATAGAAAGACTCAACAAGAAAATTAATCATTTAAAAAAAGTTATAACCAAATCTTTCAAACAGACACATCTCTTTGTTACACTAGAAGATCTTAATTTACAAGTTCAATCAGAATTAACTGATCTGGCACAAAGATGGCAGTGTCGGTCAAAAACAAACTGGATAGAACTAGGAGAAAAATTAACTAAATACTTCTACTCATGCTTTAAAAGTCGAAGCTCATGTTCAGCTCTGACAAAAATACAAATTCCTTCAGCTTAGAACAATCTAATGAAAAAGAAGTGCTTAATTATATTAAAGAACAATACACTATGATATATAGCAAAGAAGAAATCAACAATAAAATAGCAAAACAAATTACTAAAGACCTTCTACAGGTCTCTATACAAATGAACAAAAAACTAACAGATCCTATCTCCAAAGAAGAAATCTTATCAACTATCCAAAAACTATCAAATAACAAGTCCTCAGAACTGGATGGCCTTATATACAAATTCTATAAACTCACAGAAGAACACATTACATCTATTTTAGAACAAATCTTCAACCAAGTATTAATCTCAGGAATAATGCGCTCCTCATGATGCAAAAATCTAGTTATACTAATACCAAAGAAATCAAAGGAACTACACAATATAAACAACTGGAGACCTATCTCACTGGTCAACTGCAATGCAAAAATTTTCATGAAAATTATTGCCAATAGACTAAATACAATTTGCGAAGTAATTATATTTCAACATCAGCAGGGCTTTATTACAAACAGATTAATCACAGACTCCGCATTAGATATTCTTACAATATTAAGAAACCAAAAAAAGGATACAAAAGAGCACTGGATGCTATTCGTAGACTAGCAAAAAGCATTTGACAGAATAAGTCACAAGTTCCTCCAACTGGTACTAAAAAATATGGGCTTCAACAAAAAATTTAAAGACCTAATAAAAAATCCATTTTCTCGACAAGAAGCCTATATTTTAGACTCAGGATATATATCAAACTCCTTCAGAGTAGAAAGAGGAGTCAGACAAGAAGATCTGCTCTTACCACTTCTATACATATTAGCATTTGAACTACTGCTAAACATGATAGACAAAAACATAACAGGAATCAAGATCAACAACCAATCTTTTAAGTGTACTGCCTATGCAGATGATCTAACAATAGGCATTAGCTCTCTCTTTAATTGGACAACAATATTAGATCTATTCAATAACTACGAAAAAGCCTCTAATGCAAAAATTAACAAGCTCAAAACTAATTTAATGCCACTTACAAATACAGCAAGAGAAAAAATTCTTCCAGAAGAAACTCAATTTAAAAAACTAGGAAATCAAGACCATGTTACAGTTTTAGGATATAGTATTGCTACAGATGGTATACCAAAAAAAGGCTTATGGCAAGAAGCTATAAGCAAACTTAAACTAAACCTAGAAAAGCTTACTTATAGAAATTTATTCTTAAAAGGAAAAATTATGTTGGCAAACTCACTGCTTCTCTCAAAGATCTGGTATGTTGCTTACCTAATGCCACCAAGCAAGAAACAAATAGCAGAAATTAACAGGCTTATTACCTACTGGATCAAAAATAATTCCAAAATGCTTCTGAAATACTCTACCTTTCAACAACTATATAAACAAGGAGATCTACAAGCACCAATAGTTAGCAACATGCTAGAAGCTAGGCTAATCTCAGTCTGATTGAAACTAATCTCAAGTAATCTTCTATGGGCAAAAATAGAAAGAAAAAGAATCTCCCTTTACTTGATCAAAAAAGAAATATCTTAGCTATAAAAGTGCTCTCTACACAACCAATTAGGACTAAGGCATGGTCTATAGAATGGAAACTCTACCTTTTAGCATAGAAAAAAGCTAAAGGAGAGGTTTTAACAGAATCCAACTGGCTCTGAAATCTTTCAGAACTAGAAATGGATAGGAAAAAAGGACCAGAAATTATAGTCAAATTCATGATAGAGCTTTTAAGAAAACTTAATTTCAAGACTACAAATCATTTAGACTCTATAGAGCAAACTCAAAGCAATAACTAGATCCTCCAAAAAGCAATACTCAATAGAAAAAAAGACATCTTCTGGTGACTCTTTCACAGAGCCTTACCACTAGGATATAGACTCTGTCACTTTGTAGCAACAGAATCAGATGAATAGTCCTAGTGCCTAGAAAATATACAAACTATCGAACACTTCACAACAGAATGCAAAATTAGTAAAAAAATTTGAATGAAAGCATACAAATTTCTAAAAACAGACCAAATGGAATCCATCTCAGACTCATTAGAAAAAATATTTTTAAAAAACATTACAGAGAAAACAAAAACATATAAGACCATATTATGGTTACATACACACACTATATATGAAATCTGGTGCTGTCATGCTGCTTTTAAATGAGAAAATATATGATATCCAGAATCAACAATTTTAGCTATAGCAAAGAACAGAATATCCAAAAAGATCAGTCTACTGTATGACAAAAACTTTGTCAAACTTATATATAGGAAAATCTATAAATACCTAGCTTAGTAAATATATTAATGTGTAAATAATAATTTAGCAGTTATAATAAAAAGAGTGTCACATGCACCCCATAATGATATCATCTGGGATAGTTAAAAAAAAACATGCATAATTATGCTCTTTACTTTCAAAATAGTTAGCTATTAAGTTCTTTATATCTGTTAAACTAAACCAAGCTATATCTTCATATTCATCATTAATATAATTTTCAGTTATGTTCAAACTTTCTGCACTTGTTGGTTCACTAATAACTTTCTTTTTTTTCTTTTTAGTTTTCATACATTTATTGCAGTTGGAACATTTTTTTATTTGATCTTCAATTAGTTGAGTAAATTCATCAAGATTTTTATATTTATCACAACAGAAATATTTCTTTCTATAGTTAGAAAAAGCTATGATATTTTTAATTTATTAAGATTATTAAAGTAAAGAAAAAGTTACAACAATACTGTTCGATAATATAACTATTGAATTAAAAATAAAAAATTAGATAAGAGATTTTTATTAAATAATATATAGTGCAGCAATTGTGAAGCTGAGTAGTTATTGAAATATGAAAATAAGAATTGTATAAAAATGATCAAATAATATAGCAATAGAGGTGAGTAGTTAAAAAATATAGAAATTTTTAAAGTAAAAAGATAGAGTACTAATAGCAATATAGTTATTTAGATATAGAAATAAAGAGATAACAGATAGAATAGTAATGACAAATACAAGCAATTATTAACATATAGATACAATAATTTAGCAATAATAAGATAAATAACTATTATAAATAAAAGTGGTTTTAAGTATAGAAATGGAAGAAATTGTAACAAGCTAAATGGTGAACAATGGCAAGATATGTGCAGTTCAAACTCAATAAATGTATATAATCAATTTTCAATTTACAAAAAGAGATACAATGCAATTAAATTCTTTCTTCTTTTTATATAAGCAAAAATATTGTCAAATAATTCTTTAATTTTAGGCATTTAATTTCACATTTTAATTTACAAGATATTAATTAGTATTATATTTAATTTGTATAATATCAATATATTAGGGGTGTGGCAACCTAGTGAAGTAGCCAGGTTGTTAACCTCCAAGTGGCAGATCTAGAGTTCAAATCCTATAGATGATGAATTTTGGAAAATAAGGTCTGTGTTATGGTAACTGTCTCTGTCGATTGATTGGATTTGTGTATCTGTAACCTTTGTTACACTATCTCGAATAGGAGCTTGGAGCATCTATGCAAAGTTTAATGTTACATCCACATAGAGGAATGTTAATAACCGATGTTGCATAAGCAAACCTATGATAAGACCACTAGGCATAGAAAGCAAAAGAACTGAAGGGTCTGAAACCCACTTGGAAATCCTGAGTAAAGAGGTAGCATAAACTTTCAATAATACTACCGAACTATCAAAAGCCTCCAAAAAAGAATTATTAGGACCTCAG